GAATTTAAATGGACATTCAACGAAGAACGGGAAGATTCTTCAATTCAAAGAATCCATATTTGATATTTGTTCTCTTTATTGAAAATTGGTTATTAATCGTTACTAGTTAAATAAGGATTGAATTCCCTGTATTTCTGAAAATTAATTGGGGTGATATATGGGGCCCCGTCACTCTCCACGTTGACCATCTAAACATTATTTGTATCTAATAAATTTGTTACATATATTAGATGATTACATGGTGTTCGCAACATGAAATTTGTGAAAGTGCTACTCAAATTATGAGTATAATTTTCAGATTATACAATTAAGACGGTGTGTCTTTTTAATACTAGTAATCCTAAATCTCAACTTTTTAACAAGTGTTAGTTGAAATGTCGATAAATGATTTAACATTATTGTTTGTTAAACGCTTCCATTTAATTTAATTGAGAACCGAATACTTCCCATTTCAATTTAGGAAAAAGTCATTACACATCATGGCAATATCATAGTTCTCCTAGTTATAACTTAGCTTATGGTCAAAGCCTAATCTTTCTATCAAATTATTTCAATAGTGTAATATATGTAAAATTGATCTATCATAATGCACTGAGATGAAAACTAAAGAATGTTGAGAATAAATACGTAGCTTGAACTCTTATTCCAAATTAGTGATATTTTATAATGGTGGAAAAATGATTGTCATTTTGATTGGACAATTTTCTCGGCATTAGGTGAAGAAATTAAGAAGCTGAAAATAATGTACAAATGCATCATTATCTAAATCCTCACAAAAGACAATTCGAACCAGAAGTTCGAAAAATAATTAATTTAGATGCATTTACTGACCAAAGAGGTTAACAATCTCGCACATCAGCTTTAGATGCTGCAACTCGAATTGACTCCTGGAGCGACAATTCGTTGGTATTATATTTGATAAATTTATGGTACGCCTGACGCGTGATGATTATTAGATTCTATTACAAAATCTTCCAAGCAAAAATGGAGCAATTGGTAGAGATGATCTTATTAAGGAAGTATATACTCTTAATGAGTATTTAGACATAACATATTATAAAACCCCATAAAATATAATCGAAAAAGATAAGAAAATTTTTCGACAACGCTTTTGCACCCGATGTACTGCATTATATTTTGAATGGCAAATGAATCTCAAATATGTCGGAAACGTGGTCGACCGATTGGTTCAAAAGACTCTGTACCTTGAAAAAGAAAAGTAGAAGAGAAAAATCAACCAAAAAACTTCAAAAGAAGTAACATTAGAGAAGATTGATTAATAATATATTGAAAATATGGTTCCTGAAGAAACACAAGTATCCGAAAATAATGAGATTTCAATAAATTATATGTTATCTCATAAATTATGGAAGCGAAATAATGTTGTTATAGACAATATTTTCGTCTTTAATATGGCTCTTGATATTATGCAAAATGAGGATCCTGAACCACTGTCTGTTAAAAACTATCAAAATAGAAATGATTGGCCAAAATGGAAAGAAGCCATATAGGCGGAATTGAATCCCTTGGAGAAATGAAAAGTGTTTGGACATGTAGTTCGAACACCTGAAAATATAATCTCTGTTGGATACAAATAGGTTTTTGTACGAAAGAGAAATGAAAATAATGAAATTACAAGATACAAGGCTTGACTCATAGCTCAAAGTTTCTCACAAGGACCAGGAATTGATTATGAGGAAACATATTCTCTCGTAATGGACACAATCACTTTTAGATTCTTAATTAATTTGACTGTGTCACAAAAGCTCGAGATGCGCCTTATGGATGAAGTGACTGCCTTTTTGTATATATATATATATATAATTCTTTGAAAGACTTAAAGTGCGAGAAACAAATGATACTTGCCCGAAAACCATGTTCTCAATTAAAATGTAAAGATCATTATATAGATTGAAACAATTCGGACGCATGTAGTATAATCGCCTTAGCGAATATTTGTTGAAAAAAGGATATAAAAATGATGATGGCTTAATTGGAACTTCTGAAAAGCTCAACAAAATTGCAGATTATTTGAAAAATGAATTTGAGATGAAAGATTTGGGAAAAATCAAATTCTGTCTCGGGTTGTAGATTGAATATTTTCCAGAAGAATTATTTGTTCATCAATTTACATATACAGAAAATGTCTTAAAACTATTTTATATGGATAAAGCACATTCATTGGCTTCACCTATGGTTGTTCGATCACTCGATATAAAAAATGATCCTTTTTCGTCCACTTGAAGATGGAGGAAAGATTCTTGGTCCTGAAGTACCATATCTCAGTACAATTGGATCATTAATTATCTTGCAAATTGCATTCAACCCGACATAGCTTTTTCTGTAAATCTCCTTGCAAGATATAGCTATATACCAACACAAAGACATTGGAATGGTGTTAAACATATTTTTCGTTACCTAAATGGTGCTACTGATTTGAGATTATTTTATTCTCAAAAGTCGAGATCTGCTTTAGTGGGATATGCAGATTGCAGATGCAGGTTATCTCGACCAACATAAAACTAAATCACAAACAAGATGTGTGTTTACACGTGGAGGAACGACTATATCATGGAGATCTGTAAAGCAATTATTGACAACAATATCTTCAAATCATTCTGAAATTATTGTAATCTATGAAGCAAGTCGAGAATGTGTATGGTAAAGTAACATGACCAATCATATCCAAACATCATGCGGATTAATTTCAACAAAAGATAGTCCAACAATTTTGTATGAAGATAATGCTTCTTGTATTGTACAACTCAAATGAGGTAATATCAAATGTGACAGGACAAATCGTATTTTTCCAAAATTATTTCATACACACGAGTTTCAGAAGAATGGCGACATCGAGGTTCAAAAAATTCGTTCAAGTGACAATTTGATTGGTGTATTTACAAAAACACTGTTAACATCTACATTCAAGAAATTGGTTCACGGGATTGGAATGCGTCAACTCAAAGATTTTCAGTGATCAACATCAGGGGGGAGTAGCGTACTCTTTTTTCTTTTTTTAGCTTATGTTTTATCCCACTGGGCTTTCCAATCAAGATTTTAATAAGGCATCATTTTTCTTTAATATACAAAAATAACTGTACTCTTTTTCATCCGTTTTGATTTTTTTTTTGTCCCATTGAATTTTTATCAAACCTTCGTTTATGTTCTATCTCATTGAGGTTTCCTAGTAAAGTTTTAATGAGACATCATTTATCTTTAATACTCCAAAATAACTGTACTCTTTTTCATTCGTGTGATTTTTTTGTCCCATTGAATTTTTATCAAATAAGGTTTTAACGAGGCAGGTATTTTATAATGTGTCATTCAAGGGAGAGTGTTGTAAAAGAAAAGTAAATTATGGTTTAATATGAATGACACTTGTACTCCTGCAGCCCTATATATTATTACCATATGTATCCATATTCCTTCCCTATAAATATAGAGATTTTGTTCTCATTTTAACTTCTTTTATTCTCTTCTCTTTTCCTTTCTTTTCACAACACCAAATCTTTAGGAATATAATAAAATTGTTGACAAACCTTGTAATATTACGCCGCACATTGCTCAGCTGGGAAGGTGTTTCAGTGGGTTAATTACATTGAAGGCACTGAACTTTTACTCTAGTTGTAATTGGTTTATTGAACTTCAATTTGAAGTAATTAGGCAACTAAAATATAATTGAAAAGCAATCAGGTCACTCCTGTTTGGTTTGTAACGTGCCTACTAAAATTAGTTGACATGCCTGTAAAAACTAGCAAAATGCCAACGAATCCATGTTGCTAGCAAAATAATAAGAAGGTGGACCAAACACGATTTGATTGTAAATTTCTTCCCATTATGTCGATATATATAAAGAGTGAAGACATAACTAGTATGTGGACAAAAAGGATGTAATGAAATAGGGTTAATTACATCCAATGTAACATAATTTTCACTCTTAACTACAACCAGGTCGATAAACACTAATCATTAAATATCTGCTGAATGGTATTCTCGTTGCTAGAAACCTTCCACAATTTCTAGAATTTGTGATACACGAGTTTAGGTTTTTTGATATCAATGCTTAGTTCAAGTGATAAGGGCAAAGCCTACCAGGTTTATGACTTGGGGTTTGAGTCTCTTTTGGAGGGAAATGGTGAAATTTTAAAAAATAAAATAAATAAAAATCCAGTTTTTATGCTATGCCAAAAGAGTTGTATATATATTGTGAGGAGCAATTGATAAAAATTGCTAAGATAATTTGACACCTTCCCGAAAGTCATTTTGAATAATATCTATGTTTATAGATGACTTGATGAGTTGGAGAATGCTTGTTACGTTAAATAAGACCAACGTTAAAGAAACAAACATGTACAGAGCACATTGACGGCGAAAATGGGCACATTATATATTGTCCACTATGTTGGAAGAATCGTTAATTTGATGGATAGATTATAACCCGGAGAGATTTAATTTAAATGAAAAGAGAACTTCAATGACCAAATTGAAACGAAACTCATTTGAGCGACTAAATTTAATCTTCACTCTAAGTTAAGTGACCAACAATGTTGGGTTGATTATCTCAATAGTCACTGAACTTTCATAGTTGCTTTCCATAAACTTTAAATTTTTTCTAATTGTCACTAAACTAACAAATTGTTATCCCATTCACCGCTTTATTTGCTTCCGTTTGAAAAATTAACAATTTTGATGACGTAAAATGCCGTAAGTTGTTTGGCCCCTTAGTTCAAATTATGATTTTGATAAACAATATCTTTCCTTAAAAAAAAAAAGAGGAAGAAGATATTGGAAAACAACTTTATTCATTAAATATATATATATATATATATATATATGTTGTGCGTATGCTTGACTTTGAAAACTTTGCACTATTTAATAAATTATCACTATCTTGCAAAAAAAAAAATAGAAAAAAAAAGGAAGAAGATATTGGAGAACAACTTTATTCATTAAAAAAAAAATATATATATATATATATACACACACTAACAAATGAATTATCATGAATGCATAATGTAGGAAAATAGGATAACATTCCAAACATCAGGAACTCCTGGAAGACACCAATGCACACAATCTGAATAGCTCTCAGGCCTTGCTAATTGTTCTTCAGTTAGATTCATCCAAAACTTCTTATAGACAGAAGGATGAGCATCTTTCCTGTAATCTGCCAATTGTGTTATGTTCAGGAACTCTAACTTTAAACCTCTTGTTTCGAGCTCGTGTATTGCTGATTCTTCTATCTGCATCATTCTACCATCAGTCGTACTTCCTCGATATCCCTCTTTCAAAACTGGCTCGGTTTCACTGTAGCAATTTCGACCTTTATCCCTGCCCCAATCTTCTCCCCTGCAGTTTTAATGAATGGCGTTATTGAACTAACATTTTCGCCATTTTTCTATGTATCCAAAGAGGACTAATTAACATACACCCTGTGATGAGGTGAGAGGCTCATGAAGAACAATTTTGTTCTACTTCTGTTAATGTTGATTTCCAACCAGTCTGACCATGTGTTCAAAGCCATTTCATAGTGACGGTAACTCCTTCCGACTTCTTTGTAGATTGCATCAGAGCTTTCAAATGATCCCCATCTGATTTGATTACCAGTTCAGCATCAGAAATGGGGAGAGAGCGAAAAATAAAACAAAAGTTTACACGAAATTCTTGGAATGTACTCACAGAAGTGTAATTTTTGGCTCTTCCCACCACACAAAGGAATCGAATACAAGTATATCTGCATCTGTCCATTGCCTAGCATGCTTTTCAATTGCATTAATTCTTATTATACGAGCTCATCCCCTATGGTCTTTAATCTCATCGCAATTGGATTCAACCAGAAAAGGGGACCAATAGAATTGGATGGTTGCATTGTAGTCCTTCATTGATTTAACAAGAAAATCATGACTATTGTAGATAAGTTGACTATCAGAAACTGAACTGGAAAATTGAAAATATTACTGCACTCTTGTTCTGAATTTCAAGGGCTCATGGAGAATTTCACAAGAATTTTCAATATTGGATGTCCCTCATTACCCAAGCATAAAAATCTAAATCTTAACAGGGAAGAGAAATAGCTCAAGAAACACAGAAGATTTTCTTACAGTGGCCTTAAAGATGATGGAGTTGCCTTTCCAGATCAGTGATTTAGATGATGATGATGATGAAGAAGGGATCGACGACTCAATAAGGCACAACATTGATGTCCACTGGTTTCTATTCAAGGAATCACCTACAAATACAATCTTTTTCCCCCTTAACTTCTCCAACAATGCAGTAGCATTGAACATTGACAAAAAAGAAAAAACTACCAATTTAACAGACTAAAATTGCCAAGGACATAATCATTAATTCTTAATGTTGTTTGTAAATGAGTGGTAAGGGAAAACCTTGGAAGGTCACAATCATGAGGCTGCCATCGCCATTTCTGATAATTCAAGTCTTTCCGACCGAACTTCTCACACGCAAAGTCGAGCTCCATAAAAGAACATTGATTCTCTTTGTACAGAGGGTAAGATATGTTATCATAAACCCATTTGCCTGAAAACAAATTACAATGTGGAATAGAGTCATCAGGTGTCTTCTGTTGTTCAAGGAAGCCTTCACTATCCCCTTTTAAGTAAACAACAACAATCACAAAGGCTATAAGGAGGAGGACTGCAATTGAATGAAAGCTGTATACAATTTTCCATGTTCCAAGAACTAATTTTTGGGTGGTTGCCATTTTCTTAACCTGGTTGCCCGTTATCCAGATAGCTTAATCATCATTGAGAAATGAATTTGAGAACAAGGGTGCATAAATAATTTTCTTAAATGTTGTATAATTAGCTGTTAATCTCACATGGTTTTTGGTCAAATCATTTCTTTGAAAAACAGAAGACAGCTCATTCTAAGTTGGAACGTGAATGGTCAACTTCTACGAGTCTGAAGTAGCAGTGATAAGTGTAGTTTATACAATTATTCGTTGTCCTAAATCATGATATTTTATTATTTTTTTGATTATTTACCTAATTTATATTATATTGTGTTTTGTAGATAAAATTTTATGTTTAATGAAAAATTTGAGAAAATAATGCAAAAGTAGAGTAAAATGACAAAATCTAAAGATGAAACCTTGAAGAGAAATATTACATTAAATGTGTTTGAGTTAAATGAGTCTCAATAGACTTGCATTGAAAATTTTAATTGGAGACCCAAATTAAACACCCACACACACACACACACATACATGTAGACACGGACAGAGAGAATGAGGGAATTGGGGGGCGTTGCGCAAAGGAAAAACAGAAAAGGGAGAAACATGAAGGAAAAAAAGGTGAAAGAGGAGAGGGAAAGAAGATAAAAGAAAGAAGAAAAGAAGAGAAAAANTTGAATGAATTATCCTTCAACTTAGAGTTTAGTGGAGCTATTTTCTTTGAGGATGGTAGTAACTTAATTCTGTAGACAAAAGCCAGTGAGAGTTATATGATATAATAAAATTTGGTAAATTAGTATAACGTGTAGAGATACATATACTAATTATTGCGATCATAATATGAATTCTTAGAATCGGTGTTTCGTTTAACTAGAGAGGTGAGTATAGTAAAAAAAAAAATCAAACTTTTGTTCACACACTAGAAAATAGTGAAAAGAATAAGTTTGGGGATGTGTGAATCTTATGAGTGATAAAAGAATATATTTAACCATTGAAGGTCAGGAATTGAAACAACTTATGAATTCATAATACTATGCTTAATTTTTCACACACACGTTGATTTTACAATGGAAAAGTGGATTTTAATTTTTGTATTGTAATTTTGAAACTATGCTTAGATCTGTCATTATGATTTCAATCCTGAGATAAAATACACACACGTAGATTTTATTTTGGAAAAGTGGATTCTAATTTTTTTATTGTGATTTTGAAGTTGTGCATAGATTTGTTATTATGAGGTCAATTTCGAGATAAAAAGTCAGGTTAGCTATTTAAATCTTGTTGCTTTACTTGATTGACTGGCCATCAATTAGGTAATTAGTATTGTTTGAGGACAAACAAATATTCAAATTTCGGAGTGTGATAATTGTAGTTTATACACTTATTCGTGATCCTAAATAATGATATTTTATTATCTTTTGCATTAAATTCTACCTAATTTATATATAATCCTAAACCTATATAGAAAAAAAATAAAATACGTTATAGAGATAGACGACGTAGAACAGAGATGGGCGGAAGAAAGAAAAAATGGAGAAACAAAGGACAAAAGAGAAAGGAACGCAGTCAGAAGAGAAAAAGAAAAAGAAAGAGAAAGAGAAAGAGAAGAGAGAGAAAGACACGCGCAGAGAATAGAAAGAGAAAGAAAAGAAGAAATTACAAATACTAGAAATTTTCACGTTTCGTCAATTTTGGTGATATCTTTTCACTTTTATATTTTTTATTTTTACAATATAAATAACTAATTTTTATATAAGGAAAACTAATATAGTTGACTTGTGATCATTTATTTTTTTATTTAAGATTGTTGTGATTTATTTATATATGTGTGGGTTTTATTATGAGTTTAATGCATTAAATTACGTGATCAATAATTTGATGATTATGTGAGTATCTTACGAATCGAGAGGCAAGTTTGAGATTTAAACCATATAATAAAATCCAGTAAATTAGTATAACGTGTAGAGATACATATATTAATTATTATGATTATTATATGAATTCTTAGAAGTAGTGTTTCGTTTAACTAAAATTGATTCACATAGAGATATGTAATTAAATTAGTTAATTAGGCTCAATGAGAATTCGAGATGGGTAAATCGAATACAATAGAAAAATATGATCGAACACTACATTAGGTTATGAATTTTGAATTAAAAATAAATGTAATCAATAGATGATATTGTTATGCCATAATATTCATCACATATTTGAATCTTCAATTATCCATTATTTGTAATCATTTTATATTTTCAATTAGTTAAAAGTAATTAGAAAAAAATAATCACAACCATCATAATTATTTACTCGCTTTTGTCAAATAGGAGTTACAATTGTTTGCAATCATTTTATATTTTCAATTAATCAAAAGTAGTTAGAAAAAATAAATACAATCATCATAAATATTTACTTGCTTTTGTCAAATCGAAGTTAAGAAAAAATAGATTAGGTCCTAAAATATAGTTTTTGTGGGAATGATATCTTGACTTAAAGGTCAACTATATTACTTGTTACGATATCGTACATTTGCGATATAAAAAACGTAACAAGCAGCAACCAATCAGTAACCATTTTGCGCTCCGATTTCCTTTTGGCTACATGGAGATTGGAGACCGGAAGCAAACATCAAATATTCAACACGCTTTATTTTAAAATAATGCTATTTAACCTCATTGAGGTTAATATCAATCTATGTGGCATTAGATGAACACTAAACGGAATGTGAAATTAAATAACTCGTTTAATTGTACTTGTCATTTAATGTCACGTCAACGCCACGTAAACCAGAGTTACAATCCAGCGAGCTAAATAACATCATTTTTATTCTTTCAAAGCCGAAAACATACAGCAGAAGAATACTCTGCAATCAGTTGTTAGGATCAATAAGTTTTCAAATTGTTCATTTGAAAAAATGAAACCATTTTTATTTTGATTTGTTTTATTTTTTCAATTACATGCTTTAGTTATGTGTTATTTTGTGTGTGTGTGTGTCTACGCATGTTTTTTTTGGGGGGTCACAATGTTTAGCATTGATGACTGAATTTTGAAATGTCTCTGACTAGCAATTGAATTTACCAAATCTACATCATTCGTCATTCCATCAATCGTTAAAAAGTAGACGAAAATGGATGATGTGGATAACATATATTCACACGTGACACATTTGACTCTTTAAGTTTTTGCTATGTCGAAAAACTTCAATGTTCAGTCATAAATGTTGTGAAAAATACAAGAGCCAATGAAAATACCGTGAGAAGTATCAAACCCTTTTACTCTCTTATATTTTCTCTTTTATATTCAAATTACTTTCATTAAAGAAGATATTATAACGTATTGAAAAATAATGAATCTTAAGAATCTTGAGAAATTCGATTTACAATTCAATCATAATGATCATTAAATGACATACGTTCTAATATCTTCTTTAATTAAAATAATTTTAACACAAAATAAAATCTAAGAATAAAAAATAATGGTTGATATATCTCATTTGCCACTGTATTTTCTACAATATTTTTCATTGACCACTGTATTTTTCATAACATTCATGACTAGCCACTGAACTTTTGAGACATGGTTAAAACTAATAATCAAATGACATACGTAAATATGTTATCCACATCATCATTCCATTTACATTTTTAACGATTGATGAGGGAATAGTGGTGTCAATGAGTAGAGCCGGTATACTCACACGAGCTTGGCTCGTGCGAGTTTAAGTTCCGCTCGTTGGTTTTTGGGCAATCACGAGTGGTTCGTTGACAACGAACTTGTTGGTTTTTGGCTCGGCTCGCCGACTCGTCATTTTTTATGTCAATTTTTTTTAACACTATTATAACTAAACTTTAAATTCAAAAAATATATATATATACACATTTTCTATTTTATTAAAATATATATTTTCCAAAACATTTATAATTTTTAAAATAATAAATATACA